CTTCACCTCTTTCTTCTCATCATCTGCCTGCGAGTACCATCTCAATTGATGCTGGTTGGTGGTTTCAACCCCTCTGAAAAATATTTGTCAATGGGAAGGATTATCCCATATATTATGGAAAAAAAACATGTTTGAAACCACCAACCAGGATGTTGGTGAAGAAAATTGGTGTCGAAGATGAAGATCATGGGATGGAACAACGTCCCATGATTCTCAACACTAAGGATTTCACGGGCTGAACAACTGTGGATTAAATGGAATCCTTAAATCCCACAGTCAATTGTTTAATTGTCAGGTTTAACCTATGATTTAGATCACTATAAGATCATAGGGATCTAATGTGTTTTCTCATCATAGGGATCTAATGGCATTTTGACCATGATGGATGTTATGGATTTTGACCAATGGTCATCTCAAATTCGATCTCTATGATTATTACCATCTGGTTATGACTAACATAGCCATGGAAAATCACCATGCTATTAATAGGTAAACCATCTATTTCTATGGGCCATCTATGCCATGGCTATGTTAGTCATAACCAGATGGTAATTTGAGATGACCATTGGTCAAAATCCCATTATACATCCATCATTGAATCATGGATCCATCATGGAAATAATGCCTTTTTCGATCCCTATGATGAAACAAAAACATTAGCTCCCTATGATTACGAAAACCCATCATTTCATCCCTTCATCCACAGGGACGATCCCCAGTTGGTGCCCCGTTGTGAAGCGCTTCACCGGGGGCGCACCGAGGTAAGCTCTCCGATCGCCAGCAATCCTGATGTTTAAGGCGAGCAAGCGCCCCAAAAAACCGGGACCCTGCAGTGAAAAGGCCCGAAATACCAGTTATAATCCCATCTATAGCCATAAAAATCATATAATATATATATATATATAATTCCATTGGCCAATATTCCATGGGTTATATATAATTCCCATTTATGGAATGATCATAATCCCATCTATAGCCATAAATGGGCCATAAAAATAAATCCCGATAATGGCTTCGAGGCCTTTACCAGTGGACACTCAAAGACTCACTGAAATGCAAGGAGAACGGTCCCCAAAAAAACAATGAGGTGATCGAACGTGACTCATGGCTTTTTGATGCGATGCAAAGCTCGGGCAGAGGTGAAGGATGTGGAAACCCCTGCGCCCAACCAGCATCAACCAGCACACACCGAGCATCTCTTGCACAGATGCAAGCCAAGAAATCCAAAGCCACCAGTAATGACCACTTTCATGGCTCAAGCGCTGAAAAATTCTGGTACCAAGCACTTAAGTTTGTAGCCTCATCATACTTTGCTACCTTATGTTGAGGTACACATGTGAAAAACATTGAAGCACCAAGGGATAAGTGGTTTTAGTTCCGGAGATCCTTGAGCTTCCGCTTGTGTTTGTGGCTGTTCCGATATGTTTGGATGTTGTTGGCTGACCAAATCCTACTGGCTCTCCACCATGGGCAGTTCTCTGCATATCATGTCTGTAGATCCGGTGAGACACCGAGTTTGGCACCAACAAATTCATCCAACTGAAAACTCACGGCCAGCTATGGGGATGATCCCCCATAGTAAGCATCATTCCAGGTATGGATGCAAGACTACACACACTCTCAACATGTCTCAACTGTAGACTCTGAAACCATCTGCAGCTTTCTTAAGTCATGGGGGATCCCCAGTCCTCAGGATGGTTGTTTCGACAACTGGATGATGCCTGCGGGGGTACCTCCATGACAAAACGGACACCTCCATCTCAAACCAACTTGGCAAAGAAAAATGATCAGGATCTACGGGAATGAAATCAGATCTGTTCATCCACTTTCAGGGAAGATCTATGAGGGTCAACCTCTAGGAAGTGGGTGAACCCATCGATATGGTAACTTTAGGCACAACTACATGGAATTCCAGTGGTTCATTTGTAAAATATGTCCCGTGTTGGCTTTGTCAACATCAAGATAGATCCACATGTTCATCTCCATCATCATGTTTGTCAAAACAGCAATCAGTCACGGGCAGGTACCCAGGTACCCTGTACTATAGCATACTATAGCTTCACGAATGAATACACAATATGTTCTTTTCTTTTTGTCACAACTTGCAATCCCAAAATCGAGCTGTTTCAGTACTTGCGTAGAGGCAAAATCCTTATGTGATATGGTTCCCCTTGAACATTGAATCGAAGGCAACATCAAAATCCCTACTTCAGAAAAAACAACTACAACACAGGAATTTAGCAATGGCATGTTACAAGTTGTTCCCCATAGCCAAATTGGTGGCCACCTAACTCCAATTTCTCTTGGGTTTATGAATATTTTATGGTAGATATATTGAACTGGTTCAGGGAGGTTATAACATGTTATAAAGCAACAAACATTTTGAGATTTCCTAAGTCATGGGGGTAGCCCTATATGTTCATCATCCATTTTAGATTGGGATTTGCCCTGAAATAAACCATCCAATGCTCACCGGGTCACTGGGGCATCCCCCTCTGCACTGAGCTCGGGACAGGAGCCAGATGACAACTGGAAGCAGACGAACTGCCACTAGAGGCCTCCAAAGGGAAGGACTTGAAGAAGTCCAGAAAACGGAGATAGATGGAATGGATAGATGCTATAGAAAATCATATATATATATATATATGTCTACATACATATAAAATGGACTAATAGCAAACTTCCGAGTTGCGGACAGTGTTAAAGGAGAGCTTTCACATCACCATGATCAACCGCGCAGGTACTGGAAGTAGCATTACTAGCTCGAAAGTTGATGCAGATGCAGGTATATGGGGCGTTCCATAAATGGAAATACCCCAAAATAGATGGTTTACAGTGTACTGTACAGTGGAAAATCCCAATCTAAAATGGATGATGAACAGGGGGTACCCCCATGACTTAGGAACCCCCATATAGAGGTAGCGGAAACCATCGGATCACCGAAAAAGAGTCAGGGAGCGTGTTACGGCTGATCTCCGGGGCTGTGGACATTGATTACAGGTTGGAGGTGGCGAATGGGAATGGCTACAGGTCAGACATAAAGGCAATCTACCCTCTGGTAATTTAACATAGCTATTGAAAATGGCCATTTATCGTGGAATTACCCATACAAAATGGTGATGTTCCATGGTTATGTTAGTTTACCAGAGGGTATTCACTCATTCACTGACTCCTTCCTTCCTTCACTCACTTATGGTACAACTCGTTCAGAAACATCCATTCATTCAGTCACTCGATCACCCGGTCATCCATCCATTCATTCGTTCACTCATTCGTTCGTTCATTCACGGCACGGCCGGGCACTACTGGAATGTGTATATGTATATGTATATAGAATTGTAATAATTAATATACAAACAACATGTATACATACATAGTTGTATATACATCATTGTGCATCTATAAAAGTATTTTGCAAATATATACATTGACATATAGGTGTATAATTGTATATATTTAGCTAAATGTCACCACCAGTCCGATGGTGACATGTGACATCCATGGCGATTTTGACCATCTTCCAGGAATTACCCCAAAAATGGCCCAGTTTTGTAGGTAAATCTTCCAGCACCATGGGTTGCATCTGGGAATTGGTTGATGAAGTCATTTTTGGGTAGCCCCGTGGTGGTGACTGGTCGCTTGTTTCGTCACCCTCCACCGTGGCGATTTGATCGACGAAAAAATCAGCGTGGAGTCAACGTGATGCGCTTCGTCAAAGGTCACGAAACTTGGAAAAGGTCAGCTGGGTCGAAGCAACGATCGCTGGGCCACTGGGGGAATTGTTTTTACAAGGCAATTCAGCATGAGAAGCCCAAAAAGTAGAAGCCTGCTCTAGAAATTCTTATCCCAGGTTCAAAAAGGTTTACTAAACCATACTAAACCAAACGAAGCCTCTATAGTCCATAGATTTCATAAATAAGACACAAGTTTTTTTTCTCGGCTGACTCTTCCAAGATCATATGCTTGTCATTCAGCACACCACAATGCGCTCCGGCAGTCGTGTCACATGTCGTCGTCACCTCAGTTACCAAGGCAACAAAAGGTATGCTCTTTGGAAGCCTTGGCCAATTTATAGAATGATGTAACCACATGTAACCACCATGAATACAACACTTAGATTGATATTTAAATAATTTTAAATACACAAAATAACAATACATGTGGATAAGGATGGATAAGCTAATTATTGTGTGATATCTATGAACATTTACTGTTGTCAAACATGGTAATTGTCCACTTCGCGAAGATTTACATCACCAGGTCTCCCCGGTCTCCCAGAAATCCCCAGAAGATGGAAATGTTCAGAGGTTCACCATGCGAATTCTTGTGGACTTTGGTTCTGATTTAATGGAAAATCATGAAAATCTTGGTATCCGCCAGTTTCTTAGCTATGTTCATGTCTATTGTCTGTAAATCTACAACAAAATACGTAGATGGGTATCAAATGTGTTCTTTATCTCTATATCATCTAAGTCAACATATTTGCAGGCTAACGTCATAAATGTCTTCCCAACCTGGGACCCGAAAGAAAAACACTGGTATCCATAGCTATTTCACCTCAACAAAAATCAAGGCATTTTTAATCAACAAAATCACCCCAGCTTGAGATAAAGATAGTCAATTAAAACAGAAGAAAAAAAACTTCGAAATGTCTCCCCACTTAAGTGGCATGGTTAATAAAGCCGTATTTGAGCCATTGAAGCCAAACCTTTGTAGCTTAGTTGTTGTAGAGTGTCAGAAAACCCACCTGGTTCAATTGGGATTCGCCTTCAAAGCATGGCTGTTGGTGAAGAATCAACTCAAACTGTCGGGTCACAGACCTGCAGTTTTCCAGCAGAAACATCCGAAACTTCAATAAATTTAATACCTGGGCTGATTCCATGGCTTTCTTTCACTCGAATGAATTGCTATGAACTGGCCATACCCTCTGGTAAACTAACATGGCTATGGAAAATCACCATCTTCAATAGGTAAATCAACTATAAATGGACCATTTTCAATAGCTATGTATGTTTACCAGAGGGTATTATGAACTGGCCATTTAACTGGCCATGACCAAACTGGATGCATCGGCTGCAGGTCACCATCCAAACTTTCGGCGGACTTCGAAAAGCAAACTCGCGTACAGGCCGACCTGGGCGCCGCTTGGACATCCATAGAATTCATGGTCAACATATGTCAAAATATACATAGAATTCATAGAATCCATAAACAACCACTTTTTAAAAAAAAAAAACCTATATATATATAGAATTCATGGTCAAGATGAGTCAAGATATACAAGCATGAAGATCATCAATGATAAATCTCTATATACAAATCTTTCATTAATTAAAAGTGCGACGTGCATCTTAAAGTGCCGGAGTTAAATTGAGAAGGGTCTTCTCCAAGGGGGAAAGGGGCAATATCTATCTGTTGTTTTTGGAAACCATTCACATAAAAATATGTAGCAATTGGAAATACCCTCCAGTAACTTAACATAGCAATAGAAAATAGTCCGTTTATATATAGATGATTTTTATCAATGGGAATTTCAGGATCCTAAAATGAAGGTACTGTACCATTTTTCAGGCCATATTTTGTGGGGATATTCCCTTACACCCTGAAAAATAGGCAAAATAAATATGGTAGGTACCTCCAATCAATCGGTTCCTGAGATGGCCAGTGATTATATACCTATCCAGTGATGATGTCTGAAAACGCGATGTAAAATGACCAGACGGTCACTGGGACTAATGGTGCCTCCCATTCATCCCACCCTCCGGTAAACTAACAGTTTGCCATGGAAAATGGACCATTTAGTTCGATGATTTACCTATTAAAAATGGAACAAGTTTCTTTGATTTTCCATCATTTACAGATGATTTACCTCTTAAAAATGGTGATGTTCCGTAGCAAACTGTAGCAAATTACCAGAGGGTATCCCCTTGTTGCCCCAGTCACAGTTGGACATGTGTCGTTTCCTGCGGGAAACGCTGCGACCAGTTGACCGGTGATAAAACACATCATCTTACTGCTGCTAAACGCAGGGAATGAGGGAATGATCCACAATCACTATTCAAATATGTCAATAATAATTCCAGCAAATCCCATTCCCATCCATTCCCTACGTTTAGCACCAGTAAGTCATGAATTTTCCATGAACACAGCTCCATTCAACAGATTTAGTCTGGTAGACATACAAAAAACTATGGAAAATCACCATGTTTAATGGTTAAATCAACTATTTCTATGGCAATTTTTACAATAGCAAACTGTAAACGTTTAACAGAGGGTAACATCAATGATCTGGTATTTTCCAGTCATCATTAAGCACTTAAGCACCATTCACCCTCAACCCACCATTGAAGCGATTGAACCGAGCACCCACCCGGACTCCTTCCGAGTATTTAATTTTGCCAAGCTCTTAGGCTCCACCAGGGCGGACAAACAAGCAGCACCACGCTCCTCGCGAGGCAACAGCAATAGATATGGATAGAGGTCTCACAGTTAAAACATAGATGAAATAGTTTGTATTCATACAACATAGATATGTATGACACTTCACAATATCAATCTGTTCAATATAGCTGATGCTTATGCCTATATATATACATATATATATATGATGCATATATATATATATATATGTTATTTATTGTATATATACAGGTTCCTGGTCACATTGAGTGATTGAAATGTCCTTCAGCGATTCGTCCACACGTCGGGTGGCCCATTGAAGGCCTTCAGTGTTGATGAAGAGTAGGAAGCCCGAAGTGGTCCTTAGATCTATGCAGATTTTGGGACCTGATCATGCAGTGATTGATTTTGACATGTTTTACCCTCTGGTAAACTAAGAGTTTGCGAACTGGAAAATCACCATGCTAATGGTAAATCGACTATTTCTATGGCCATGTTCAAAAGCAAACTGTAAATTACCAGAGGGTAACCCACGACCCACCAACTTTGCCCCAGGGCAAACAAGCTGCGTCTTTATGGAGCTGCAAACTGAAGAAATCCTCTGTTGGGGTCCCAAAACAAATGGTGTTTCAAACTGGGGTCCATGGGGGGGGGTTACCTGGTCATTTCCAAAGAGTTGTGGTATCATGTGGTATCCACCTGTATTTCATATTGTATGTGCCAATCTTATCCTATGTTGCTTCTATTAAACCCAATACCATCAGCCATCCCCAAATATTCCCAATATCCAGCAGGGTGCTAAGAAAGAACATAACCATATGTTTTTTCTCGCTAGGGGCCAGGTAAAGCCACTATAAATACCGCTAGAATTAATATCAAATAACCCTCATCATCATCAGCCAACTGGGGTTTAGCAGCCCTTGGAGGATTCTGGCATGTTCTTTCTTGGGTAGTATAATCCCATCATCATCAACCAAACCATCATTTATCACCTACCCCCTGGTAAGTTAACTTGTTGACCCTGAAAATCAGCTTTTTTGTTAATGCAAACTCGTCTTCCAACCCTTATCTGCCAGGGTTGTCATGTTAACATACCAGAGGGCTGAAATCCCCATATTTTCTGGGGGTCATTTTTTCAGTACCCGGTAGCCCTAATTTTTTAGATATCCCTAATGATATAATTGGGTGATGATCTATATATATATATTATCTATATTATGGGGCATCTAAAAAATTAGGGGATCTATATTATCTATAAATATCATCTATATCATCCTAATGATACCCCTAAAATTGAGTTGATGAGATTGTCTATTCTCTAATTGGATGGTTAACAATAAACAGCCACTGCTCCAACCACGGGCGTTTCACGGAGGACACCAAGCTTCGTGACACTGGCCTTGGCTGCGCAGTTTCCCGTCTCCAAGCTGTTTGGATCTTGCAGAGATGAATTGTTCATCGTATTGATAATACCCTCTGGTTATGTTAAAATAGCTATTGAAAATGGCCATTTATAGTGGATTTACCCATTAAAAATGGTGATTTTCCATAGTTACGTTAGTTTACCAGAGGGTAAAGAATATGAAGAACACACCCTCATATGCCATATTGCAACAGCAACACACTGTGGGATGCACATACGTATGATTGTGTAATATCAGTCATTCTATATCACATCAAATAGGGTACAAACATAATAACTATAATATATATATATATACATCAAATATATGGAGGTTTCTGAAAATGGAGGTACCCGCAAATCATCCAAGTCATGGATGACCATGACATAGTATTGAAATCTATGGTGACTTGGCGATCCCCCATTTTAAGAAACACCCATATGTATACTGTACAGTAATGTAGGATTATTATGACAATAGCAACAATAAGAAGAGTGAAAATAACCACGATAACAATAAGAATAATAAAGTATAATATAGTCATAGTGCAAAACACATACCACATATACAGTCTTCCCCAAACATCCGGAAAACAAGGGATTTCCTAATTACTACTGAATCAAAAGAAACAAACACTTGATATGGAGGTTTCCTGAAATAGGGGTACCCCCGTTCATCATCCATTTTAGTTTTTTTTTCCATTATAAACCATCCATTGCGGGTACCTCCATGTATAGAAACCCCCATATAACAGTTTGCAAACTGGAAGCCATGGTTTACAAATGAGAAACATAAAAATGATGGTTTACCCCAAAAATTATGATTTTCCATAGCTACGTTCTATAATAAGCAAACAGTTTCTTGGTTTCTCTTTATCCAAGCTGCTGCTTTGTTCCACTCCTCTATGCACGGTCTGAAGACCCTCTGAGCGACCGTCCATGAGGCTATCCTGGCTACCCTAGTAAACTAACAGTGTGCTCTGGAAAGTCACCATTTTTAGAGTAACTTCAAACACATCATTGAAATCATCTACTTTCAAAGATTGCCATCTTCATCTATGTTCCATCCATTTTCCATCCATGTTCCACTTCGCAAAGCCTTTTTTTTTGACCGGCCAACTGTCCACCTGGTTCCGTCCTTCCGTTAGCATATCGAGCATCCACCTTCCAAAGCTCTCCATCAAAATGTCCGGATCAGGTGCGACCTTCCTGCATGATGGGCCATTGCTGTTCCCCCGGAGACACCTGAATGGGGGCTGTCGTGGTCGTTTTGGTGACATCATTATCATCGTTCGTTGTTTGTGGTGACCTCCGAAATAAACATGATAGAAACATGATATGAGATTGCTACGAAAAGAGTGGAACATAATGGAAGAATTGAAGCTGTTTGTAGCTGTTCTTTCTTTTTGAATACCACCTTCTGAAAGCTGATGACCCATTTACTCTCCGGTAATCAAACGTGGTTTGATGGAAAAAATCACGAAGTAAATGGAGGTTTTTTAAAGCTGGGAAAATCATCAAAGTAAATGGTGGATGTTCAATTGTCGCGTTTGATAGCGAAGGGTATCTAACTCATATATAGAACTGGTTTGTACTATGGTTACCCTCTGGTAAACTAACATAACTATGGAAAATCACCATTTTTAATGGGAAAACTCACTATAAATGGCCATTTTCAATAGCTACGTTAAATTACCAGGGGGTATCTTTCTATTTGCCAGGATGAAAACAACGTTTCCACATGGAAACTCCACCGGCCAGGTCTTTCCTGTGCTGTGGTAACTTGTCATCCATAACTGGGTGGATGTTTTTTACACCAGGTAGACATTAATGGAAAAAGCACCCAAAAATCACCATGTTTCAGGGTAAATCCATGGAAATCATCCAACGATTCAAGGGCCATGTGAAACTTGACAGATGGTACCTGAGTTATCCTGAGTTATCATGGGAATCACCAGAGAGCAGTTCTCAAACCACCAAAAAATACGAAAACATCCCGTGCAGCCACTGCCCATTTGCTTAAAGCTTATGAATAGTCCGTTCATATCCACCTGTTACACATGTGTTTATATATATATAATAGTTCATTACTATCTAATATATACCATTTATCAACCCACCATTTGCTGATATCATTGCATTACTAACATTCCACATCCCATTCTATCCCATGAGAACCCCAGTATAAAATTCCCATTGGATCCAGAATCCCATGAGAATCCCGCTTATACACAGGTCCAACACTAAGTATCAACAACTGGTACACAATTTATGTCAATTATTCTTGGCAAACGGTCAAATAAAATAATAGAATATAGTATCAGTATAATATAATAATATTTATATTATGTCATATTATTATATATATATGTATATATGTATGTATGTATGTATGTATTGTATTGTATTATATTGCATTGCATTGTATTGTATGGTATTGTATGTTTGTTATATCATTATTGTCCCATTAAGCCACAGCTGGATCTTGCCATCTCCCCCTTCTCCGCGGTGAGCCAGGCACAGGTCGCAACAGAAGCGTCGGAGAGTCGTCCAGCCGAACCAAGGCGGAGGGGAAGGAGACCGTACCTGTGATGCGGTGCTACAAGTGGTTTTTTTGGCTGGTTTAATGGGATTTTAATGGCACTTTAATGGGATTTTAATGGGATTTTAATGGTTAGTTAACCCCAGTTAGTAGAAATTTTGCTTTTGAATGGTCAATGGAATGGTTCAAGGGAAAATTGACAGCAAAGCCCTGTATTTCATGGGAAAATCGATGGTTTCCTGTAGATTAGCCCTTAAACCAATCCATTGAAACGGGTGTTTTATGGTGTTTACCCATATGTCCATGTGTTGCATGGTTTTTTGAATGGGATATCACCTACTTACTAAGTGGGCATTAGATGATGTTTAATGGGATTTTATGGTGGTAATATGGTGGTAAATGGTGGTAAATGGTGGTAAATGGTGGTTAGTACCTTAAAGAATTTTTATGGTCCGGATACCCATATTTAAATGGCTAATTTGAATGATGCTACATTAAAATATATTAAAATACAATGTGTGTTCACCCATATTTAAAGGAAGGTGCTTTATGGTATTTAAATGGGATTGAATGGGATATGTTCGTGATATTTTTCATGGGATTTCTATGGGATCTAACTGGGAGAATCTCCCATTCTATGGTCCCAAGTACGTAGAAATCCCCTACTAAATCATGGTTTCTGTGGGGGTGTTTAATATTAGGGATGGGATTACTTAGCAGTGGACGGAAAATCACCATGTTCAATACGTAGATCAACTACAAATAGAGAAAATCATCTAAGAATGGATGTTAAAAAGCTGGGAAAATGTGGGGAAATCCCCAACATGTCTTTAGTCTCTATAATATTGTATTGTATGTATTACCCTCCCGTTATTAACATAGCCATGGAAAATGGCCAATTTATAGATATTGTTTGATGATTTACCTATCAAAAATGGTGATTCTCCATAGCTACGTTAAATAATCAGAGGGTATATATATATATATATATCATATGAAACTATACTAAATCAACAAAAAAACCTGTACATATGGATAGATTCAAGTAAAAATACAATATGTCTATAGTGTTTTTGAGCTATACAATCATACTAATACTAATACTATCAAAAAATCTAATTATATATTGTATGACATTAGCTTATATTATTATGCATCAAACTAGACACTTTTAATTTATAATATACTATGGTGTGTATATATATACCATAAAGTATATCAAATGGTATGATGTTATATCATGTTATGTTATATCAAATATCATATCATACTACATTATGTTATACTATGTTCTATCATTTTGCATTAAACCACATCTTTTTATAGTAAGTTACATAATATCATATTGTGCTAAAATACAATATTAAACTATGTTACATGAGTCAATTCATATCAGTTTATAGTGTATTGTATTGTATTGAACTGTATTGTATTGCATTATGTTATATTACAATCATAATCATAATTATCATGTATATATATATTATATAATTATATATACATATCGGCAATCAAATCATGCATATCATTGCATATCACTCGTTGCAGCCCATTCAGACACACCTTCCAACATTTCAACATGTTTCCGAGCGTGAAGGCCACATCCAGGAACGAAAATATCGGAGTTGAACCACAAGAACATAAGTGTTTTGTATGTGTGCTATGTTTGTTTTTTGTGATTATTGAGGGCCACTTCTCAGATTTTATTTGTCAAACAGCTATTTAGGACTTGCATGGACTTGCCGTCTGATGTTCTACCAACAGCAGCCTTTAAGCCTCGTTTTTCCTACCCAGAAGTTCGCCACGCTGGTCCGAGTTGTGGCCCCCTCCTTCAAAGAGCTCCTTTGCAAAGCTCTGGAATTCTTCCTCGGGGCGGTTGATTGAATGAACATCATCAAGTTGATTATCCAGATAAGGAATCCGTTGTTCCTATTCTCTGGAATATCATTGAAATGAACATCCTGATCATATAGTTGAGAGATGAGAAAAAGAAAAATGGAAAATCCACAAAACACCAGAAACATAAAAATCCTTTCCCCTGGAATGTTCAAGCGCATATTTTCTCTGTCTATTTGGCAGCCAAGCTGGAGAATTGGACGAGAAGTGACTAGAACAAGGCAGCGTCCAGTGGACCATATTTGGATGATGACTCCAAGCCCCAAGCCACTTGCAAATCCAACCCATACTGGATACTCAAAGGAAATGGGGAGGAAACCAATGTAATTCTGTTTTCCTTCAACATGGTTTATTTGGATGTGGGAATATACTACTACTATTGTGTATATATGTACTAAATGTGTACATGTTTAAATGTGTGTGCATATATACATATATATATATATACATACTGTAATGTGACTTTATAAATGTGATGTCATACACATACATTTCACAATATTCATACAACCCTGATTCCAATCATCAACCGATTTGCATGAGGCTTCACAGTAACAGGATCAGAGTGTCTGTGCAAAAAAAAGAGTTGATGGCGTGACCATAAACTTAACTGCACACTTGGGGGTGCAACCAAGGTGGAACAAACATGGGTACAACCCCCATAATTTGGGATATAACATCAATTAACATCATATTACCCCTACAACTATGGTTCTGCAGCCATTTATCACCTCAAATGCAAGCCTTCTGGATCCAGCCTTACCTGGTTGAAAAAATATATATTTAATATTTGTGGTCGGGGGTTATGTCCCTTCGGATCTGGCTCCACATCTTGACATCACTTGGGGACGATTTGAGGACGGTGAAAAGTGGTCAGAGACAAAGCAGAATTCTACGAACTATAATACCAATAATATGGTGATCAATGGATCAATGGAATTGGCATTTCCAATAATTAGGATACCAGTTACTGGAGGGTATTTCCAATTCTACAGAATTCTATTCTACTGGTGATCAATGGAATACCCTCCAGTAATATGTAGCAATTGGAAATACCCTCCAGTAACTCAACATAGCAATATATAGCAATAGAACATAGTCCATTTATAGATGATTTATATCAATGGGTATTTCAGGATCCTAAAATGGAACTGTACCATATTTCAGGCCATATTTTGTGGGGATATTCCCTTACATAAGCCATTGAATACGAGTGAACACATGATTGTGCAAACATCCAAGCCCATTAAAAATACCAAGGTCCCATCTAAAATACATTCGTTGGTTGAAAAGGGTTTCCCAATCCTATGGCTTATCATAATCCCCAACACATGAGTTAGCAAGTATATGTCCCATTTCATAACCAAGCAAACATCAATTATCAAATGATCAGCTGTATGAATTATTTCGCCCATATTTTGGATACTCAAATCATATTAAGCCCCCAATAAAAGCCGAGAAAATTCATGGTTGTTAAACTATTCATCAGGATTTATCAACTATGTCACTATGTTCCCTTTTTTCACTATGATTGTGGGTTTTCATCAATTAACCTGGACAATCATGGACATTTATTTGTTTTTATGATCCACTAAGTATTACCATCTGGTTTATTTAACATAGCCATGGAAAAGCACCATATTTTCAATAGGTAAACCATCTATTTCTATGGGCAAATTCAGCCATTTCCCATGGCTATGTTAGTCAGAACCAGAGGGTACGACTGGTTCATTGGTAGTTAAAACCTCATCACAACCCCTGGTGGATCATCCCACAGATCGTAGCTGGATGTTCACCAAGGGCTGCTCTGGGAATCTGTGGGATGAGCCACCAACGTTTAGGCCTTGTGATGAGGTTTTAACTATGATATGCCATGAACACGTCATTAACAAACTATGGTTAATTCCCATTAAAACATGGTTTTCGGTGGGAAAACAACATCAAAAACTATGGTTATTTATGATTATCCACCATAGTTATATAGTTTCAACTACCGTAGTATTTTATGATATTCCATTTAACCATTCCATTTTATGGGCACTTAGCCATATTTTTAACCACCATTAAACACCATTAAAGTAGGTTTTAAACACCATGATATAACCATGTTAGGTTGGTTTAAAACACCATTAAGCACCATCATTGAAGCACCATATTTACCACCGAAAAAACTATGGTTAAGTCATGTTAAGTCCCCTTATTCAACAGGCCAACAGGGAGATTCTCGACGTCTCGACGTCTGCATCTGGGAGGCCCAGTCTCTGGAGTCACTCGCAAGGACCTGGCAGAACGACCAAAGCAGCTTTACCCCAAAAATATGGGACATATGGGATGTGGGGTGTTATGTATTTATATATAAATAAATAAATATGTACAAATATAGATAGATATATAATGTGTATATATATATATAGATAAAACACATCTGAGACCATGTTAGAACATCTTCGGCGCGGCTCGCGCGACACCTTGGGATCCACCAAACAAACCTTGGCGACTCGGCGCTGCGCCACTTGATTGATTGGAATTTAGTGGGAATGATTTACTCAGATGGGAATACAATCAACAGAAACGTTTGATATAACCAGCAGGCAGTCAAATAAACAAACACTTCTGCTGCAATGCAGAAGTGATATTGTCTATACCTCAGCGGAGATATTATCTATAATTCAACAAGCCGTTATTCAGTAGGCCTTAACTCAGCATAGACATATGAGTTTGTTTAGTTGATAAAACATACCCTCTGGTAAACTAACATAGCTATTGAAAATGGCAATTTATAGTGGATTTACCCATTATATAAAACTGGTGATTTTCCATAGTTACGTTAGTTTACCAGAGGGTAGATGGATTTTATACTTAGATGGGACTTATACTTCGATCGGAAAAAAATGACTTTGTTTACCCTCTGGCAAACAAACATGCTATGTGAAAATGGCCCAGTCGATACGTGACATAGTTGATCTACCAGATCAAAAATGGTGACTTTACATAGTTATGTTAGCTTGCCAATGAGTAGTTAATAAATGGATTTTATTTGATGTTTGATTGGGTCAGTAATGCTAATCACCCTAATCCCACGGCCCATCGAAGTACAATCTCACAATTATCCAGCCCTTAAACTTCTATTCAGCTCATTTTCTTATCAAGTTCTCATGATCTTATCATATTATCGTACTATCATATCTGATTACTACAAGGTGGTGCTCCAGTTCGTGACCGATAAGTTGACGCACATAACTTGGTTAACGTTCGGGTTAACCATTGGGAAATATCACGAACTAGTTTTCATGCGCTTTATAAGCCAACAAACATCACTGGGGGGGCACCCTGTATCGACCAAGGAGCTATATCGCAAGGCTCAGCAGCACCAGGGCCTCTGGGGGAATATCCAGGACTTGGACGACAAGAAAAATCTAGGAAAACCACATGTTAGACGTGGGAAAAGAAGGCTATCCTAGCTGTGTATGTATATATAATCATGTATGTACATATATATATATATACACTACACAAATCTACACAATATATACATACACATACACATACACATACACATACACATACATATACATTTACATATACATATACATTGACATTTACATTGACATAGACATATCTACTATATATATATATAGATATACATATATACATAATATGCCCTGTATAGTATATGCAATTTTCAATGAATCACCCCAGTGATTCCCCAGTATATATAATAGTTCCGGGATCAACCTGGAATTTCCGCCATCTCAGCCCTTTAAGCTTGGGCCATCTGTATTTCCTTTGGGAAGTTTGGCCATGATTGACTCTATCTCAGGCTATGGCCACCTTGAAATCAAAAAACGTTCTGGTAGCCTGATTTGCCTAACCAAATCGAGACATTTAGAATCTAAACCATCACGGCTGGTCATGACGTCATTCCCCGCATGAAACCATTTGTGGATCATTAAGGGATACTGAGGATCCTGATAAAACCGTGGGAGTTCATGGGATTTCAGTGGACGTACTGGAGTAGCCTCTGAAAATCGTTTACATAGCGGGAAAATAGCATCTAGCCAGGAAAATCATCTCGATTTTCAGCAGTCTCCACCTTCATCCACCCTCTGCCAAGCGCGCAGCGCTTGCAGCTTGCGCAGCTTGCGCAGCTGCGTCTGGGAGAACCTGCGTAGTCGATGAAGCATTGAAAGGATTTGAATATAGGAAGAACATCAAGATTTGAACATCAGTTGACATCGCATCATGTCTTTCATTTTTCTTTTTTTGCGATCCGGATGGCGAGCTGGTTTCAAGCTGAAAAGTATGAGTTCCTTACCTTGGGATAATACTCTAGGGCTGAACATGTTTTTAAAATACAGATACCCTCCGTAATCAGCTCCATGACTTGCTGGACAATTCCACATTTGCTTCGATGATATTTCCTTTGTTCAAGCTCAAACTTGGATCTTCCAGCCCCGTTTGATTAATTTCCAGTATTTGCTATTAGTCACATAGGTCATCCAGAAAAAAAACAGATCCACAAAAAAAACAAACAAAATGCTGTTAGCAACTAGATCCAGTATTTGCTGTTAGTAACATAGTATGAATATGTGGTGGACTATTTTCTGGTTATAACCGTTATACTGAAATCATACTATGAAAATCTTCCGGTTGGTAGTTATACTACAAGGTGGTGCCCCAGTTCGTGAAGGCTAAGTTGACGCACCTTTTTCCGCACATCACTTGGTTTTTACGTTTGAAAATATTCACGTTTGGGAAATATCACGTTTACCATAGTTTTCATGGGCAATTGTTTTTTTACATTTTCATGGGTTTTCCTAGGGTTTTCCTAGGGTTTTCATAGGGTTTTTCATGGGCTAAGCCAACAAAGATCACTGGAAAATCCCACCAGATCCAGCTAAAATTACGGCACCTCCTGGAGTTCACGACTGCCTTTCAGCGAGATTCGGAACGTCCATGGTTAATACGTTGAGAATCATGTTGATATGGTTAATAGATCATGTGGTTAATAGAAAAATGATGGTTAATTAATGGTTAATTTGTTTTTGTGGTGAAAAAAGATAATAGTTAACGCGAACCATGGTTAATTGATGTAAAAAATTGATAGTTATGGATAGTTATGGTTTATATCCAACTAGATGGAGGTGTCCTAAGTGGGCTACCCCCCTCCGAGTGAGACCGTACCACCGTGATGGGTCAGCTCATCACGATGGGAATGAGAAGAGGAGGATGACGATGGCGATGATGAGAAAAAAGGATCTATACATTATAGAGAAAATTATAGATTGTTGTATCATACAATATCATATAATCCTAAAACTATACATTAAAAACAAGGAGTAGGATCTATATATTATCTCAGAAAATTAAAAGATTTCACGAACCTGAATCTTGCGGCCATTTGTGGATGATTTCCCTAAAAAAACAATAATTCCAGGGTTCGGTTGCGATTGGAGGTCGTGATGAAATTTACCCCAGATTGATGGTTGATGATGGTTAAATCCCACGAAATCCTATTAAAACTTGTCATTGATGGTTGTTGAAGGTCGTGATGAAATTTACCCAGATATTATAGATTACCCTCTGGTAAACTAACATAGCTATGGAAAATCACTACGCTATTAATGGGTAAATCCACTATTTGTATGGCCATTTTCAATAGCAAACTGTAAACGTTTACCAGAGGGTAAATCATTCTTAAGTCCTCACCATTAATCACCTTCACCATTAAATTACCATTACTGTAATCACAATTAATTTCTATTCTTATGATCGTGATCAAGGTGATTCAGGTGACCGATCCACAATTTCTGCTGTGATGATATCCCTTGGGTATGTCGGGAATACTTTGGGGACGATGGCTGACGATGGCTTAGGAATATGTTTGGGTTGGGAATGTCAATGGCCATGCAACAGGAACCGATTGATTGGAGGTACCTACCAAATACAAAGCCTATGAATTTCAGGCCTACTTCTATAGGGAATATCATGGAATATCCCCATAATTCATCTGGCCTGAAAAATGGTACAGTACCAGTACCTCCATGACTGTTGGATCCTGAAATTCCGATTGAGAATATGTCAGCAATCGTGGTTCAGTCACTCCTTCTCTTTTCATGAGTCGGTTTGAACCATGCTGGTACGTCGTAAAAATAGGGTTATTTCCAATAGAACCAGGGTAGAAACTAACAGGTCAAATATGGAAACTCATGTATCTCTTATGCCAAAATTTCCTGCGAGTGCTGAATGTATCCCAACCATTGCTGGCTACATTTGTCTTACTTGGGTCTTATCATGTTTCATCCACTGATACAAGACCTGTAAATGCTTAGATGGATTTCATTTGATGCCGGAGTTGGAAAATATTTATTGACTGCGGTGTATTCCTTTCAAACTACTAGTATGTTTTCTCTTCTTCTTCTGCTTCTTCTTCCCCTTTTTCTTCTTCTGCTTCCACGTATAGCTACGACCCAAAATAAGCTCCCAACTCTTGACACAGACATTCCATTGCCGCCAAGTGACGGCCGCAGCCAAGAGCGAACCAGCCATGAGTGGGGCGATGTTTTTTCCTCCACCTAGGAGACTGGTGCAAGTCGTCACATGTTGGAAGGGATTCATTGGACGATTTGATTTTTTTCAGGCTTGATATATGTTGATATTATATACGTATAATCAATTATACATATACGTATGTGTATATATAATTATATATATATGTACACATATGTATACATATGTTATATGTTGATATCCAGCAACACTCCTGGGGTATCCTGAAGCATGTGCTAACCCAGGTATCGGTTCAGTGCTTTATAACCCTCACATACCCCATATCTAAGCCGTAAAAATAACTGCCATCTCATCCATATAATATATGATGTATATATATATATATTAATATCTAGATCTAGATCTATCACTTATAACTGGGTTTGATCATGATTTATCATCATCATCATTATGAATCATTACAGGTTCTTATATTGATTATTAACTGGCATTGATATCACTTGCTAAATAGATTCATCAGTATCATTCTCATTACAAAAGTGATTATTACAAGTGATATCAAGTATTACAGTGATTATTATTATTGTAGTCATATAGATCATCATTATCATTATTCATTATGGATAATTCCTGGGATTAACTACCTATTATTTACAATAACATACTTTTCACTTTTTGTCATCATTATTATAACATATTATAACTTATCTATTACATTCTCATAAAAAGAGTACCATTATATAATCATAGAATTATAGAATCTTGTTTACCATTGTCATAATCTCATTTATTGTTGTAATATCCCAGATGCTCCATGGTGCTGGAATATTTATCTACAGAACTGGGTAAATGTAAGTAAATATTCCAGCACTATGGAGCATCTGGGTATGTTACAATGTGGGCCCCCCCAGCTATAAGTTGGTTTATAAATCCCATTATATAACTATAGTTATTTGCGTATCATAAACCATAGTTATTGGAGTTATAAACCAACTTAGCTATCCAGGGGGCCCCACATTGCAAGTTATCTCAATGTCAAGTTTACGGCACTTTTGCGTATTCCCTTCTTTCAACTCCCATGGATATCCCACTTTCATTCCAGGATTTCATCCCATCATAAATCCCATATACCATCCTGAACATGATTCCTGGGATCGGCCTGGCGGCTCCACACCTCTCACGCCGAAGGAAGCGCCAGAGGAACGCCAACGCGGCGGCGCCACGCACGGCCCACGGACGCTCGGGGCGGGATTCATGTCGAAGTGATGGGAAATCCCCAGTGGTTAAGAGTCATTAATAGCAAAGCCATTGGTTAATAGGAGTTAATGGTGGTTAGTAGTGGTTAATGGTAAATTCATGGTAAATTAGTGGTGAATTGATGGTGATTAACACTGATTGATAGTGATTCGCAGTGATTCATAGTGAATAATAGTGGTTCATAGTCATTAATAGCGATTACTAATGGCTAATAATGGTTCATAAGCATGATATGGGGGGTTCCATACATGGATGGCACACCAATAACTGGATGTTTAATTTCATGGAAAATCCCAATCTAAAATGGATGATAGTGGATGATAATGGATGATGAACAGGGGTACCCCCATTTGTGGAACAATAACTGTTGCTGTTGGACCAATGTTGGATGGTGGCCATCGATTATCGGGTTGTGATGGATTGCAGCTGAAGTTGTTGAGTCCCATTCATGAAATTTTAAAGAACATGAACCTAACCATTTTGATTCTGATTTTTGGCCAGAAGTCATCCTTAAACTGCACCTAAATTTTGGATCCATTCCCGTACATGATTGTATCGTTCAGTGTCCAAGCGGCCGGGTATTAAGATCAATTCCTTTCGATTCCAATTCCCACTTCATCTTGAGTGTCACTGTGTAGCGCGCACTTTGGCTGACGTTTCGATGTCAAAAGTGGCCAGCGGTGTGAACATGTGTGCGTGCCTGAAACATCGGACACCAAATGAACCACAACAGGGACCACAATTAGAATGTATTGTTCATGTTTTTTGAATTCGCAGATGCCTTTGTCTGAAACCAAGTGGTATCGACCATGTTTTTGGGTTGCCAGCATTCAAAACAATCCCGAATATCCAATGTGAAACAAGTGGATAAATGAAAATAAATCCTCAAACTGAAATACAGCCCCGATGATCATTCCGGTGACGTCGGCGTGAGGTCGTGATGAAACTTATCCACACCTATAATTATTCTATATGGAAAGCGAAAATCATAATGGTTTCCCTGTCTCAATTGTTAAACATGATAAACATGATTGAAAAACGACCAAGCGAAATGCTGGGTGGCCCTTCCCCAATATGACTGCAACCCAGCACTAGTGGCGGATGATTAAAACCTTATGTGAAACTATGTGAAACTGAAATATGATCATCCAGGGAAGAACAAAAACATGCACCATATGTAGTTTTGTTGAATTTGCCTGAAAATCACCGAAAAAAACAAAATCAAGAAATCATGTGGGGTTTACCCAATCTTGAAGCATTGCTGCTAAATTAGGTTTTTGAATTTGGGTATGCCATGGTATACCTAGACCCTCCATGTGTACCTTTAAGATTGTGTTTTACTCAATCAATTTTACAGGTTTTTACAATTTTTGTAGGCGTATTTGGAAGATCCACGTAATAATTTCCGGGATTTATAGATGGTTTTCTCGGCGGACTAAACCTCCATTTCGTTCGGGGATGTTCCATTGCCAGCCACTTTTGAGGACACCAGATGGTACCATCTAAGGGACATGTTCATATACCAAAACTTGATACCCCAACTTTATGGCTCATATGGCGATTTCCAAAGCCATGGGAGCACCCCTAAATCATCAATTTTATTTTCGGATTTTCCATGAAATAAACCATCCAGCCATTGGGGTGCCCATATGACTTAGGTCACCCCATGGCCCACTGGCCCCAAAGTCAGAGCCTCCCAAAGGTCTTCCTCCAGGTCCTGACCGGTGAATCAATGAATCGATGAACCAGTGGATCAATCATTGAACCAATGAATCAGTGAATTAGTGAACCATTGAGTCAATGCACCATGAATCAATGAATCAACGAATCAGCAAATCAGGTGAACGAATTAATAGATTGATGGATGGGTGGATGGATGGATGAATAATGAGCTACTTTTCTTCGCCGAGCTACATCTTCACTGAGCGACCTCTTCGCTGAGGCACCTCTTCTCTCAGCTACTTCATCTCATTATCCGGGCTACCTCTGCTCTGATCTGCCTCCAGCTAGCTCTCCTGTAGATTCTGCAACCCACTTATTCTCTTCGCGCAGCTGTTACAATGCTGTTAGCACCCTCCAGCTGCAGTCCCACTTACCGGGAGTCTCGCAGCATCACTCTTGCTTTCCTGCACGCAGCCGTGCCAATATGTTTTGTCACAACCGGCTGCAGGCCCGCATAGCACGAGCGTCGCACCAAATCAACCAACACTTGCGCAGAGTAAAGACCACACAAATCCCGGGCTGCTCCGAGACCTCCAGTTTTTTGCGCTTTTTGGATGAAATCGAGCTCTCGCTACAGTCTCGTGCACATTTGGCCGACCACCTCTTCCAAAAGTGCTCCTAACGCTTTAGTTCTTTAACATTTTGAAGTTCAACCCCGGAAACAGAGACCCTACTGTGGACCTCCGGAAGCCACTTTACCTGAAAAAACACAGGGTTTCGCGAGTTTCGCGCCCGAGATTGTTTTCACCCGTGAATTCACACGCTTCCGAACTGTCACACTTCCCAACTACTTGATGATGGGTGGTTGACATGATAATGTGGTTGACATGATGGTGGGAATGCTAACAATGACAATCGTCCGTGACTCGGAAGTTTTCGAACTAAACTTCCTTTGAATAGGATAATCTATCCTTGGTTATGTAATTGATTGTAATTGCTTAAGATAATCTGTACATATCTGTACCATGTAGTTGATTAATGATCATTCAGATTCATGAATGCAACGAATTGAATCGGATTCATTTGACTATTGGGATAATTTCCGAATATTGATTAGAATGGGAATGAAAATGGAAACTGATCAATAAAATGGAAATACTAATTGAGCAGGACTGAACATATGGAATCAATGTTGATCAGTAAGCTTGATTCAACCATCATTAACTGCAAGCAGTAATCAGTAATATTGGGCTGAACTGAGGCTAATGGAGGAAACATTTGTCGGCATCAGCAGCAGCGATGATTTCCCAGGAAGATTCCCATGATCCTCTATGACTTACATGGTGAGTAGCTCGTCGATCCTGCGTCGACTTCCATTTGGTAGAGATGTCAACTGCACTGCTCCAAAGGGGCGACTGAAACCAAGTAGGAAATTGCCTGATATCATCTATCTATGTATATATCTACCACTGTCTACCCCTGGAAATCCAACATGGCAATGGACAATGGCCCATTGAAGCACCAAATAATCATTGTAACCCCAGAAAAGATGGAGAAAGGTTCACAGTTTAATTTATCACTATTTAATTTTCACATATGTTCATTGTTTGATCTTTTCCGGGTTGCTATATATGTTATATTGGTGTCTGGGTATCGATCTCCGAACTTTGTGGAAATCGGCAGCCGGATATACGTAAAACCACCAGGTCCTGGATCATTGCCTCGGTCGAAGCGTTTGTGTTGAGGGGCTGAAGCAAAAACCATTGAAGTGTTGGTGTGTTCATGTTTTCATGTTTTCATGTACAATATATTGACATACATATATATATAGTTTATGTATACAATATATATAGTTTATGTATACAATATATATATATATATAGTTTATGTATATATATATATATATGTGTGTGTATATATATATATGCATGTATATATGTACATATGCCTGTGTATTCTCTGCATTTATTCATTTATTCGTAAACATATGAAATAGAACTATACTAATACACACTGTGTGTAAATATGGACATAAAGAAATGTATACATGTCCTTTGGGAGTTGGAGGGATGGCTGAGAGGCTTCAACCCCCGTGGATCGTATGGAGTACATGCACAAATAGGGACACTGTATGCCATCAGATCACATGACTTTGCATCAATATAGTATGTGTCTATGTATTTAGACATTATGTATGTATATATCACTCATGTATACATACGTTTGTATATATATATATATATACATGCATATGTATGACATGTATATCTCAATACGTAAATATAATATATATATATAAATACATATGCATTTATGTATATATATATATATATAATTATATAAACCTATACACATACGCTAAATACACAGGGCATGTTTTACGTACACATATCTGAGCTAGTTGACCTCTGTTCCATGTTTTTCATGACTTCCCATACAATGGGGGTTCTTGTATTTGCTCTGTGACTGTGGTACAATTGGGGGTACTGGCCAAGGTACTGGAACCATATATATATATATAACATTAAAAACACTAGTGCAGTTATTAAAAAAGAAAAAATAATGATGAAAATGACATCTAACCAATCGTTGTTTTTCAAAAAATTGAAGCCAAGTTCTACCTTCTTTTTGGCTTAGCTATCAAGTGGTTGGGAAACTCTATGCGTAGCTCGAACTGCCCATTTTTCTTGGGATATTGGATACCCATAGCTGCCAAACGCTCCCTCCTAAGCACTGGATTTTCGGCTGGATCATGCCACTTAGTAACTGGTTGATAACCAGATTTATAACCCAGAAAAACACATTCTGGTAATTTAACAGTTCGCTATGTTTCAAATGGTCCATAGAAATAGTTGATTTACCATGATTTACCTGTTAAAGGTGGTGATTTTGCATAGCTTTTTGTATGTTTACCAGAGGCTATGTGGGAGAACCAATATACAAAGGGTACAACCCCCTGGTACCACTCGATAGTGCACATAACTCACATTTTTCTGGGTTGATTAATATGACGAACTAGTTAGTTCAAGGGGATTTGTTCGATCAACAAACATTTCACTGGGGGGCACCACCTTGTAAACAAGGTATTCCATTAATACCCCGTGATATCATTGATATCCCTATTATAGTCCCTTTATATCCCTACGAGGTTACAATAGAGATGTTAGAGGGAGAGAAATACTAAGTTTAACTAGCAAAACGGTGGGAATAATAACATGACATCTAACTAAAGTGTTCCAATAATATTCCCATTAATATGCCTATTCCCATTACATCCCTCCCCATTACATCAATAGTCCACTAATATAATTACCCATGATATCCCTATTATA